CCTTCAAAACCAACCCACTCCAAGAATAAACTATGCATAGAATGTATGAATCGCCGCTTCACGCATTTCCTACACCAGTGATTCCCAGGCATAGATGATATTTTCAAGATTTTTTGTTATACTTATATGTTAACCACAGATTATGTTGAGGTATATTGAGTATCTGCATCAATTTATCGTCATGAAATTAAACTGGATAAAGTGATATAATTAATATTATCCTCTTTCTAATCTGAGACTGTAGAGTAGGCCAATAGTCAATAGTATATACTTCATTATGTAAAAAAGGCTTCTATAACTATAGTCGTTCTGAGTCATAGCAATAGAGTATATCAGATGTGTTAATTGCCCTCTGAGTAAATCTGAGGTTCCCTCACTCACACTCTGCCATACAAAAACACCTTGCAATTTAAAATGACAATTTAAAAATGTTAATTAACTGCAAGTTAAGACACACAACCCACTGGAAAAAATAAAATCTGATAATGTATAAGTGCAGTAAGATACCTAATTGTACAACCATCAAAGTGTCCAAAATATCTCAATTTCAAAGCATTTCATAACAGTGCATTTCAGCGATCTTGACATATTTATATTGCATTGGTACTGAATTACTAATTAATTTTTTTTGTACAAAATGAACGATGCAATCCTAATAATCTGTCTGCCCAATTAACTAATTAACTATTAAATTTACTGAAAAATATAGCTTAAATGTCACTAGAAATTGTGTTAAGAGTAACAGTGTGAGTTGAACTGAGATTTTGAGTTGAATGAAGAGCATAGGCATAGGACATAGTAGTAGTAGATTTGTTCTCGGTAACTCAAGTAACTATCAATATTCAATATTAATTTAATATTAATTATTATCAACTTTGGAATTATGTATCATCCTTGTACTTGTATTATTATTATTGTATTATCATTTTCATTTATATACTGTATTGTATAAACTATGACTATACACAGTATGACTGTCAGTATGACTTACATTGTCATTGTGTGTCAAACGTTGTATTAATTATTAATAAATGTATTTGTTGTAGTACCGTAAACGGTATAGTAATAATAAATTTTAAAAAATGGGTAAATTTTGAGGACGATGCCCGGGCCCGGGGTTTAAAAAATGAGTAATGAGTAGCCTGTACTGTACTGTAGTCTGTAGTGTAGGGAAAAAAAAACAAAAAAAACTAAATCGTTGCACCGCTTATTTTTTACAGTTATAGGCTGAGTTCGGTTTACGATTAAGATGTTATATTTTCAGTCAGAGTAATTCTTAAAACGTAAGCCCAAATGATACAAAACGTTTCAAAATAAACAAAGTGTAGTCATAGAAATAAAAGACTTTTGCAACTCACCGGTTTCTTTACTCTTGTGTAGTTTCTGGGGTTAGCCTAGTTACCGAAGTACAACATCAACCTGCGTGTAATTCCACATCTTAGTTTCAGTCTGTTGCTGAAAGCCAATGAAGGGTATTCCTCTAATTTTTAGTCATAAAGAGGTCAACTAACAATTTGTAAACACATTTAATTAAAAAAACATTTTTGTAGCGTTTAAGTTTTAATTTTATTTTCTAGCTCTAATGATAAAGAAAATTCAGTGAAAATGTCATTCAATTCTGATTCTGAAATTTCAGAAATTAATGATCCTCCTCACTCCCCGGCATAACATGGATGGGTTTTCACGGTCTTACCAAACTATTTTATCATAATTAAGTAAGGTATTTCGTTGAGCAACAAATCGTTAAAGGTCGATGATAAGATCCTATTTTTAACGAATATTTTTACCACCAAGAATGTTGACCATATTTGCATAGGTCATTGGTGGTGCCAAGACCGTAAATAATTCGTGAGCCTAAGGATATATAGGGCGGGATCTTTGTACACTTGGTGACGCTTTGACATGTTTTGTACTAGGTTCTACTCCTATAGATCTGACTATCTTTATAGTGCATTAGATGTTATACATTGGTACGTAAGGTGGCCGTAAGGCACATTGACATTCAAGGATTCAATGTATGGACCATTTTAACTTACTAAACAGATTCTGTTTCTTTGAAATGGCGTGACTTAAATTAACTTTCCTGAGCGAACTTCTGTGAGATAAATATGTTAAAATTAGCATTCATATTGTTTGTATTTTTATATTTCTTACTCTGTAGAGTATTATTATTGTATTAATCGTTAGACCTGAATCAATTTTTAAAGGGCTTTGTGAGCCCTGATTTTTTTTTATTTTATTTTATGCGTATTTTTTTTCTTAACTTCTCAATTGCAGTGGAGCACAGTACAGTATACTCTCTTTCCAACCCAAACAATATTTCGAAATCTTTCAAGGTTCTTCTAGTTTAGGTACTTTTGACTAGCCTAACAAGGTATGGAGCTCTTGAACATCTCCTTGCTCACTTTAAACTCCTTTTTGAGGAAGTTAACAAATCTTGAGAGCTAGAGACTTCCTTAACCATAAAAGAGGTCTCAAATTATCGGGCCTCATCAAGTATTCCACAAAAAGCAATTACAGATTCAATAAAGTACAACTGCACAACCTTTATTAATAACAAATAAAAACATTAAGGGTTCAATTACTTTATTCTTATCCTTGTTGCCAGAGACCTGGCAGCGCTTCTTCTTACACAGCCGAGCAACATTTAATTTGGTTTGAGTGAATAAGCAACTGAGATCTTTAGTATAGTATTAGCTTTAAACTTTTCTATCAAGTATTGGGCCGCAAAATATCGTATCGCGGGCCTCAAATGGCCCGCTGGTTGCGAGTTTGAGACACCTGATATAGGCCTATCTTTCTCCCTACTATTCCCTTAAAGCAGGGGTCGGGAACCTATGGCTCGCGAGCCAGATGTGGCTCTATTGATGGCTGCATCTGGCTCGCACACAAATGTTCCATTATAAAAAAAATGTTTCTTTAGACTCCTTTGATCTACATATTAATTGCATATCAATGTTTCATTCTACAAATGAGCTAAAAGTCTACTGCAGCTGAGCATCAGAAGTGGTAAAGGAGATAAACTCCACACATTTACTTGAATTTTTATTTGTAAATATAATGTATGGCTCTCACATATTTACTTTTCAAAATATGTGGTGTCCATCATGGGCGCCCGCAGGTAGGGGCAAGGTGGGGCACTCCCCCCCCCCCCCCCTTCCGATCTAAAGTAACTAAGCTGATGTCCTGTCCGTTCGTTCACCATACAAATACGCTACAACAAATTAAAACTATATTAAAACATTACTAACAATTTTTGCCCCCCCCCCCGGAAAGTTAATCGATTTTTTGCCCCCCCCCTAGAAAGTTTTCTGCGGGCGCCCATGGTGTCCATGGCTCTCTCAGACAAAATGGTTCCCGACCCCTGCCTTAAAGGATGCCCCGCTCTTTATTTTCTCTAGATACCCGAAGATGTCCCAAAAGCCACAAAATTGTCATTTATTAGATTTATTTGATCTTTTCATACTGCATAATTTTTTTCCAAACTGAACACCTATGCAAATTTTATTGGTTTGTTCAATCAATACTTAACCATTAGTTTATGTGAAATAAAATTAAAAATGATGATTTAGAATTCAAAGATTTTCTCGAAATTAAAAAGTGAGGGGGGGGGGGGGGCGAAGTCAATACGTCTCCAAATCTTCCCACACTGTTAACATACCGCCCATTCTGCTTGTGGGTGATTGACTAAAAAAAAAATTAACGTAAAAATTGTAGCTCAAAGAAGGCCAGTGAGGATGGATGTTGAATCAATTTTGATAAATACGAATCTTAGGCGATGAAAGAGAAGCTTAAAGAGATTAAATTTTATATAAAAAAATAAAAAATTATTCATTCATTTTATTTAAGGGTCTATACCAATTTTTAAGTCATAATATGATAACTTTCTAATGTCGACTATAATATTTTAGTATTAACTAACACACATATTCTGGTGAAGGTCTGAGATTACTCTCTTATGACCCCGGCTAGTAAATTGGCTATCAACTCCATCTGTTGAGCTGAGCAATACACCATTTTCCTCACTAAGGGTCCTCCAACCGCACTGGCTTCCCCCGGGAGATCTAGTGAGGGACATTCGGTCAACAGGTGCGATAGAGTCTCCGGGTCCAGGCTGCAATGCCGGCAGATAGGATACCTGTTGTTATCAGGGTTTCTTTCAGCTATATCTCGCCCC